GGCTTGCACCTGGCACGGGCATCGTAGCCAGCCCGTGCCCCTTTAAGGGGTCCGGGGCCGGTAGGGGGGGCAATAGAGTTTCCCTGGTGTTGGCCAGAGTGGCCACCAGGGAAAGCTGGGGAGGGCTAGCCTCCCACTAGTTCGAATTAAGGGGCTACACACCCCTTAATTCGAACTAGTAAATTCGAACTAGGCTTAGTCCTCGTACAATGAGGTTTACCTAGTTCGAACTAAGCGCTCCGCTAGTTCGAATTAAGTTCGAACTACCGGAGCGCTAGTGTAGCGCCTATGAAAGTTAATTCGAACTAACGTCCGTTAGTTCGAATTAACTTTGTAGTGTAGACATACCCTGAGATACTGCTTCTCTAGTTCCTTATGCAGTCTTCACACATAGCCTGCTAAAATATACACATATTTCTCACTTGCAGCTTAACTTTTTGCCATCTAACTATTATTTTGAGTAACAGACTTGCAACTTGAAGAACACCTTTTTTGTTCTTGATAACTTCTGAACTGCAAAATGAAAAATGTGTTTATAAATCTTAAATAAAAAAACTCAGCAAAGCAATATTTGTCATAGACAAGGGTATGTCATTAAGTTGAGTCCTCAAGTTCTTATTATTCCACTTGCTGGATAGATATATTGTTAAACCTCCTTTATTCACTTTTTATAATCTGCAATTAGGACATTTTTGTTCACAAATTACATCAGAACTGCATTTTAAAAGCACTCACAGATTCACATTGTTGGGAACAGTTCACAGTTGTAAAATCCATGGCATAGTATCCTGTGCTGTGATCTTTTTCTTGCAAACACTGTACTGTGTAGCAAAGATTTTCATCCAAATACTGAATCATAGATTGTCCAGGATTTAGCACAGTTACTTCTTGAAATACACATACATCATCCTTTTCTAAAACGATAATAAAAAGGATCGGGTCATTAGGAAAATGTTTCTCATTAAGCAAACTAACAGAATCTCATTCAAACAACTGCACTTTGTGCCAATTTTAAAGTTTACTACTGCAAGTAGGGATTGTTCAAGGTAAGCCCCTTGACCATCCTGGGAACAAATCATGTGTTCATTTATACCTGTAAAATCCCACTGATTTTGACAGAGTTCTATGGAGACAAAAACTAGTGCTGAAATTGCCCTCTTCACTTTAAATGTGCCACATTTGGATTTGTATATTTAGTTGTGAGTGGATTTCCTAGGCAGGAGGCAAGGTGCTTTCCCCAAGCATGTGGAACACTGCTTAGGACATGCCAGGAAATAAAAGACACTGGAGTGGATTTTAAGCAGCTGCCTACAACTTTATTCACTTACAGCTAGATAGGGGAGGTGTACACCCACCCATCACAAACACCAGGCGTTTAGGTAGGTCCAGTGCAAGGCTACAGGGATCCCACCCTATAATAAAGAAGATAGACCCTTCAGCCTACCTCCTAGAACTCAGCTCACATCTAAGTTCTCTCATTCTCACCTCCTCCCCCACAAACAGAGCAGAGCATTGACAGGGGGATCTTGATCTGCAAAGATTTCAGGCTTGCCCTTCCTATAGGCACAAGCCCCACCAGCAAAAAATCTCAGCTCTCATTTACCTCTGGGACATAGCCCTTTTAGCTTTTATCCATACTGGCTACTAGCTGCAAGCTGAAACAAACTGTAAATTCCTATATTATATCTTAATATCAGACTTCAAAATGCCATTCTCCTTATGCCAACTGCACATCCACAATGCTGTGAGGAAGGAAAAACACATACAAAATCCCTACAACTTTGGCTCAACAGGAAAACAAATCTTTTTTGATCCCCTTCCGATAGGTCACACCCACAGTAGCCTGGAAATCCAGCTCCCTATCTGTGCTACAGGGCGGAAGGGCAGAGCAACTGATGAGGCAAAGAGGCTCCTGAAGGCTAAGGAAAAGTGTAGGGAGGGCCAAAGGAGCCAATCAACTCACACTCTTCCCTTCAGGCTAGCCAATGGGATATAACAAACCTGTGGAGAAAAGGGGACCCAAGTATGGCATTTCTGTCACATGTTCCCCACTGACACCTCTTCCAGGAGCAGTTCTTTTCTTTTCTTTTCTTTTCTTTTCTTTTCTTTCTGATCTAACCAATAATGTCTGTCCTAGCCCACTGAATTGGTGAGAGGGCATTTCTTCAAGCCCGGTCTCTTCCCCCTTAAACTTCCAGGGTTCATGCATTCTGCCTGCAATCTGAGATTTTTACCACTCACCAATCCCATATTTGGGGCAGGTAGCTCAGTATCAGCACATACATGAAACATTCTTGTCCACATTTTATAGGTGATTTGGAATGTAATTGTTAAACTGGATAGGATTGGGAATTTCCTAGTATTTGGAAGGAAAAGAAAGCCTACAACATAACACCGTTTAACTCCCTGGTGCCCTGAAAAGCTATAAAATGTACAACTACATAATGTTAATAATACTCCTGGGCTGGGGCTTCATATAATCAGCATTTCTCTAATATTTAAAAAACAATTAGAAGTCCCGTGGCACCTTAGGGTATATCTACACTATAAAGTTAATTCGAACTAACGGACGTTAGTTCGAATTAACTTTGATAGGCGCTACACTAGCGCTCCGGTAGTTCGAACTTAATTCGAACTAGCGGAGCGCTTAGTTCGAACTAGGTAATCCTCGTTTTACGAGGACTAAGCCTAGTTCGAATTTACTAGTTCGAATTAAGGGGTGTGTAGCCCCTTAATTCGAACTAGTAGGAGGCTAGCCCTCCCCAGCTTGCCCTGGTGGCCACTCTGGGCACCACCAGGGAAACTCTTCTGCCCCCCTCCTGGCCCCGGAGCCCTTCAA